ATGAGAAAAATAGCGAGAAAATTCCTAGATAGAGAGAGGATATACTCGATCAATCGTAGCTATCTGCCAAGGGTCTCGGTTTCATTGGTCCATCGAAGGGGTTAATCCAGCCGGCTCGGGAGGAAATGAAAGGGAGACCTGGACAGCCGAAACAGGTGTATCCTCTCCCATGTATCTGCCCCTGTCTACGTCACCCTCTTCGCGGTTTCTCGGAGTAAATCGACCACATAGAGGAGAGGTTCCTTCGCGAAGCGTATTTAAATCCAGAATTTTTCTCCCGAGTCTCCGTTCATCGTACCGTTTATTTATACGCGTAATATATGTTCTCGATGAGATAAGATCGTGAAACGCTGAGAAACTCGCGGCGTGTTGTGGTATCCGTCGAATCCTGGAACTTCGTCGCGTTCCACTTTACGTATCGCGGCTAAAGTCGTTGCGTGAATCATGCAGGCGAAGCGAGTGCGAGTTTGAAAAGCGAGTTGCTGGCCGATTAGCGCGGAGAACTTGCCAATTTCCCTATCTTATCGGCTAATAACGAGCGTTTCAGCGTGGATACGCGAGACCCGGTTTCCGTGGTCGCGCCACGGGAGAAACATTGTTTCGGCTTCTCGTAATCTTATCGGGTCGTAAAGAGCCGGAATGCGACAGCTATTCCGCATTTGCGTTTCGAGTGTCGGAATCGACGGTGCAATTTTGCATTTATAATTGGCAGTGATGCAACGCGCGAGTATAGTCGCGGAGTGGCGACGTTCGGAGGAAAAGGAAGTTAAAATTTCAGCTCGGCTCGGCTCGGCTCGGCTCGGTTCGGCTCGGCTCACCGTCGGCTCTGGTAAACGAAAATTAGATTATTTCTTCCATTGCGACGCGCGTTCGACTGTCCATCTGGGTCATCCCGGTCGGTTGTTGGGCAACGACGACGACGACTGGTGTTCGCGCAATGCTCGCGCGTGTCGTGCAAGCGTGCTCCGGCTCCGCGCCGCGACACACCCCAGGTATAATACGTGCTTTTCCGCGCGAGGCGTGTGCGAGTTACGGTACGCGTTAACGCAACCGCGTTGTTTATTCTCCTCGAAGATAACAAGCGCGACGCGTGTTACGCCCGCGTTTCGCGGCAACGCGTTCGGCTCTGGCAAACAACCCGTCGACAATTAACGCGTATTGTTCGAACGAATCCGCTCGATCCGCGTGCTCTCCGCGCGACTCCACTCAAGTAGGGCAAGGCGATTCCTTTCTCTCGGCCCGACCAACGCGAGTTGCAAATATTTGCCAGCCATCGCGCGGAAGATGATTCCAGCGAGTTTATCGCGAGCTGGCTTTGGAGAACCTTTCGAAGCGGGTTACACCGTTGTAGGGGGTCCACACGTTCGTTGAAATTGGCTTGTCGCAGGTATCCTCGATGTGGTGGTGCTGCTAGAAAGGGCGATAGCAAAAGGAAGAGGAGGGATGCGTTTCGTCTCGGGCTTGCTAAGTGGGACTTATCAGCAAGGCTACCTAGCACGGGCCCCCCCTTTTGATATACGTTTTAATACGCCAAGTATAATTACGACAGAAACGAATAATTACAACAAAGAAACCGAAACGTGTAAGAGGTTAAAAATTATCGAAACTCTTTTGTCTTTTGGAAAAGTAAACTTGATTAATATTTTCAAAAATGTCAAATATATACTAGCACAAGAAAGTATAGAAAAATTAACTTTTTTAGAGAGAAATTTGATTTACAATTTATTTAAAGTTATTTGTTTTCATGGGCGGAAAATTAATACAAAATGAAGGTAGATTGAAGAAAAAGCTATTAACCCTTTGCACTTGACGATTTTTTGGCTAAAGAAGGGTACGAGTTGGAAAATTTTCTATTATAAAGCTGGTGTGATATTTTTTGAACAGTCAGTAAGGAATCATATAATAATTAACGCGCGGAATTATTTCATTTCGATACCTCGCACACTTTTACATTATTTTAAATTTGATATATTAATTAATATCGAGCTTCGAAATTTTATCAAATGGCGACTGAAGGGCGCCTCTCAAGTACAAAGGGTTTAAACTTAGGATTAATCTTAATCCTTTGCACTGGAGATAGCATCCTTCGTTCGCCACTTGATAAAATTTCGAAGATCGATATTAATTAATATGTCAAATTTAAGATAACATTATAGTGTGCGAAATATCGAAATCAAATAATTCCATTTATTAACCATTTGCACTCGAGAGGTGAGCCTAAGTCATCGTTTAATCAAATTCCGAAGAACCATGTCAATTAACATATCAAATCTAAAATAACTTAAGATTGCATGGAATGTCGAAATAAAATAATTTTAAGTCTTAATTTATACCCGATTCCTTATTTACCGTTTTAAAAATATTCTCGACGTTACAGGAGAAAGTCTTTGAATTGCTGTTTCTCTGTGACGATAATAATCACAGAGTACAAAGGGTTAATTATTATACGGTTTCTTATTTACTACTTAAAAAATATCGTCACCTTTATAGCAGAAAATCTTTGAACTTTTACTCTTCTTTAACCAAAAAATCGAGAAGTGCATAAGGGTTAACCTTTTGACTCCTGGGGGTCGCCTAAAGGCGCTTAGAAATCTTGCCACACGCGCTTAGAAATTTCTTTTGCTGTCAAATTTTAAGTAATGCAGAATACAAGGGAATAAATACCGTTGTTTCTATGTAGTGGAATACAGCGTTTTGATTATTTGTCGAATATGCAATAATTTCTCAGAGATGTATATCTAACGGAAAGTTTCAGCATTCTCGGTGTACATAGCTAATGTATTCTTATCGTATGGTACGACTGGTGCGTTCCCAAAGTCTGCCATAGTCGAAGGGTTTATTTACCGCGCTTATCGCTTTAAGATAATAATGCACCTAAGAACTATATTTTTATATTAGAACGCGAGTATGCTCATGTATAGAAAGGCGCGAAAATTACAGTTTTTGATTTTAAATGGGAAATCAGGAGGGGGTCAATCAGATATCCTAGCAGAGCTCCTTCCTTAGACAGGGATTATATTAACACTAGTTTTACAGATGCTATCTGTATACCTATTTCTACATATTTGACACTTGTCAAATTGACAGGTAAAGGAAACCACGTGTCCTTTTTTTAACGATTAATTTAAAAACAATTACAATATTAACAGTCTTAATATAAATTAGCTAAATCTGTTACCATCGTATAATGAGAGCAACCTATCCGTCAAATTGACGGGTTCCGTGAATCTAGTGTTAACCCTTTGCACTCGACGACTTTTTCGTTCCAGAAAAATAGTAATTCGAAGACTTTCTGTCATAGAGTCGACGATGTTTTTAAAATGGTAAATGAGAAATCATATGCAAATTAAGACGTAGAATTATTTTTCTTCGACATTCCACACATCGTTAGGTAATTTTAAATTCGATATATTAATAAACGTCCATCTTTAAAATCTGATTAAATGGTGACTGAGAGTCACCTCTCGAGTGCAAAGGGTTAATAATAGCCCTACCTAGGACTGTTGCAAGGTTTGGAAATAGAATATATCGAAAAATGGAGATTTTCTAAAGCACTTGCGAGAAAGTACACGAACCTCTGTAAATTTGAAATCCATCTATCGACGATGACGAGAATGATGGCCGCCACAACAGATTTGGGGGCAATCTGAGGGGCAGGAAAAATCATGGAAGCTTCGTGGAAATGTGGGGGTCCTCCCCCACCGACGTTTGAGTTCAGGTGGTCACAGGTATCTTAGCGTAGCTAGAAGGGATGCGTTTCGTCCTGGGCCTGCTAGCGGGGACTCATCGGTAAGGCTACTCTAGCTGGCCCTGCTATACTGGGCATGGCATGACTACATGACACTGGGATACTATTGGAAGTTCGGGAATTTATATATATAGGAATTAGAGATTTTCCGAGTACTTGCGAAAAGGTCGGGAGCCACCTAGTGGTGAGGGTGGAAATGATGATCGCTACAGAAATATTTTCATGAAATTTGCGCGATGATTCACGCTATTCCCCGTGTCAAATTTAATTGCGGCAAAGAACGACGGTCGCTACATACCGTATTTGCGATTCCTAGCGCGTATACCACGATTCGCGAGAATTTCGCTATTTCGGAGGATAATTTTACCTCTCCGAAGTTTCCACTCGGCGCACTTTGCGATTGTGCGCGATCGTTTACGCGAAACCTCGGGGATCGTTAAACCTCGTCGCGCTCTCCGCAAATCCTATCGGCGCGAAGGTTATGTAAATTTCTTCGCTGACTCGCTTTCTTGCCAGCGGCGCGGCTCGAGCGCGTTTCCGTGCTTGGCCGTTCGACTCTTGTAAATTTGATCGCGATATCCGCGCGATTTCAGCGAGCGGGCGACGAGTTATTTCGACCGCTCGCTCGCCCGCTCGCGGATTTTGTGGGTCAGCCGGAGCGGGAGAAAAAATGACGGGGGCCGGTGTTGGCCAAGATTTATGGGACAAGGGTGCCTCGTTTGCAAAAGTAGCTCGCGGTGACACGCTCGAACGAGGCTGTCGCGTTTCGCGTGACAAATGGATCGAAATTACCAATTATCCCGCAGCGTTTCGGCCCCGAGTCGGCTTGGATCGAGCCGCGCCGAGGGCGGCTGCGATCGCGATAATTCGGCGCGAGTTCCGCGCGTGTTTTTACACGCGCTGATCGCCAGCGTTCGCGATCCCCACGCGAAGCCGATTCGTCGATGTATCGTTCACGCGCCATGGACGTGTCTCGGCCTCGAGCGCGCGCTTTGCTCGCGTGGGCGTTCCGCGACGGGCAAGCCGAGCGTGAAAAGTAAATCAACGGCGTGCACGCTCTCCGTACCGGGGCCATTGTGTCGTTATTATTCCCATTAGTTACACATCGAGACGGCTCCGACTCCGTTGCCATTTTTACCTCTGCACACCGGCTCTCCTGCACTCGAGTTATTCCACCCGCTCCCGTGCCCCCTCCCAGGAATTTCGAATTCCGTATCGATCTCTAACCGTGTCTTCACGTTTTCTGTTGCAGGTAAATCCACAGACCACGATCCACGTATTTATTCTACGTATATCGTTGCTGATAGAACGGGTCACGGTCGAAGCGAGGCACACGAGGGGTAGGTAATCCTGGAGGCGAGAAAACAATGTGCCAGAGTCGTCGGGAAAAGGAATTTCCCGTGGTCCGGTGACTTTTATCGATAACGCCATACCCCGTTTGCCTTAACACCTCGCGAAATGGGGAAACAGCCGTGATTTATACGCGCTCGATCGACCCTCCTGAGCCTCGCTCTCGTTAGAATCGATCGCGCGCGAGGGTGGTCGCGTGGCGCCCCCCTGGAATTAGGTCGTCTCGACGTTTCGATCAGATTTCTGCCGAGAGTGTTCGCGAACTTGAACTTTTCGCGAGATTCTTGACATCGGGGAAAATCTGTCGGGGGGAATCACGTAGGACACCTCGAGAAGGGGCGTATCGGCGAGGACCGGGGGTGATTGGTACGAAGATCACACACCGCGATCATTAAACGTTCCATCGCGCAGAGATTGGCTCGTTAGTGGCGCGTTCAGCTCCGGAATCCGCCGCGGGAATAATAATACGCGAAGGGGGTAGACTGTGCGTTTGGTCGGCTAGGTTATAGAGAGAGGGAGAGAGAGAGAGAGAGGAGAAAAGCGACGTGTATCGTCTTCTTAACGACGTCTCCTCTGGACGCACGAACTCGAATCAACGATTTATTATCCGTCCCGCGAGGATCAATACCAGCACCGGCATAGAGGCGCATTCCCACGTTGAAATTGAAATCTATTCGTTGCCGCGCTCGCGCTAGCGCTCCATCTCTCTCTCTCTCTCTCTCTCTCTCTCTCTCTCTCTCTCTCTCTTTGCACCGCGTGTCCCCGTCCCCGTGCACGCGTTGTAAGTCTCGATTGCCAGTCGGTTGTAAAGAACGTTCGATGCATACGCCGGCATGCAGCGATTGCAGGAGACAGCGGCAACGACCGACTTCAAGGTAGCAAAGCCAGTCAGTCGACGGCTTATGTAAGCCGTTCGGAGGTCTGGCTGCGCGCTCCGGGACGACGCGGGAGGATCTACGATAGCGTTTAGACGACGGCAGAGGAGGAGGCGTTCCATTTGCTCGGTATTCGTATTCCGTATGTCGACGGGAATAACGAATGGGGAATCTTCGTGACTGGAAGAATGGGATAGGACAGGGTCGTCGGCGTCGCGCGAGCGGCACGGGGAGAGACAACGGTCTTGGCCGCTCGCGGATGATAATGATAATCCGTGGCATCGTCGATTAGCGAACGGTCAACAGGCAGTCGTTGACTCGCGATCGACGAGGCGAGCAAATGGCGCGAGCGTCGCGACGGTATGTAACCGATGGACGGACGGAATATTCGTCGGAAAAGGAGCGGTCGCAGGGTCGTGATGTACAGTCGCGCATAGTCGTGACGAACGATCGCAGGGTCGTGACGAATGCTCATAATATATACATGACGAATGCTCATATGGTCGTGCCGAACGGTCGTAGAGTTATGACGAACGGTCGTAGAGTTATGACGAACGGTCGTAGAGTTATGACGAACGGTCGTAGAATTATGACGAACGGTCACATGGTCATGACAAACGGTCGTAGAGTCGTAACGAACGCACGTAGAATCGTGACGGACGGTCGTAGAGTCGTGACGGATGGTCGTAACATCGTGACGAGCTGTCGTAACTTCGTTTCTGTTCCTGAATGAGTAGACGAATGAATGGACAACGCCCATGCAACGTTCGATTAGATTTGTTCCAATGGAGGGCCGGGATTTCGATAGACCTTCGAACTTCGTAACCCGTTTCGAGCGCTCCCGCTGATCCATCGAGCGTCCGGTGTAAGCGGATTTTTCGCGGAAATGTCGACACGCGGAGAACACGCGCGGCGTTGGAGAACGAGTTGGATCGACGCGCTCCGCCCAAACCGGAATGTCTCGTTCGGGTTGCAGCAACTTCCGTGACGAACTGAATTCGAAAGCTGAGGTGGCAGGAA